CCCTCCGGTCATTTGTAACTCAAAGGGGCACTAGATCTTCCTTTATTTTCATCACTCTCTTTGGGTGCAAGAGCCAGCATCAATACACCCCTGTTCAAGGCTTCAAGTGTTAGAACTCCGCCCTAGTATGTACCATAGTAGATAGGTTTGGGTGTAAAACACGAGAGATAGAGAGAAGAAATAAGAGAAGAAGGACCAAAAGTCAAAATAGTTGGCCATGTGTCCTGTTTTCATTTGACATTTTGCAACGTCAGCGCGTTTAACCATCATGTGTCGTGTTCTTTAAAACTGTTGTTAATGGAGTGTTTAATAGGTATATTTTCGGCTAATATCGGGTGTTCAATAGGTCATACCCTTAGATAAGGTATCTAAATTAAAAACTTTGACAAGTTTAACGGGTCATTGATGTACTTGGCCAAAATTAAAGAAAGCAACAAGAGCAAAGAGTGGCATATAACAAATCTTTCTATAGCATACATAAATACGTGCAAGAACCTTCAGATAACAAAATTAATGCAACTCAAATTATCACTTCCTGCAGTACTTCAGCAGAATTTGAGGATCACTTTGGTTCATTGAGACCGTAATCATNAACTTTGGTTCATTGAGACCTTAATCATAGTTCCCCAGAGATACACTTCTTTAGATATATCATCCCCAGTGGTATAGATGTTGTTGTTGTTCTTAAGTTTTTTGATAACTGCTGTCGTTCTAAAGTTATCATAAACATGAAAGGCTTAACATTGTAAAACTACTAACAGAAGATAATTGTAATTGCATTTCACTAAGTTGAGCTGAAATTAGAAAAAAATTACCACGTCGTTGCAGAATAAATGGATAAACATTTGATTGCTAGCAGGATAATAATTTGCACAATTCCGGCGCTCCAAATATTGATTTTACCATTCCTGAATTTGGTTAGCATGTCAAACCTAAGCCTAAGTATGTTACAGAGAAATTTGGATAAGATTGAAGCAACCAAATTACTGCAGTAGATAAGACAATGAAGCACTTTATTGATCTAAATCTTGGGAGGGAAAGAAAAACTTAGTTTTAAATACTTCATTAACTACTTTATTAAGATTCTCGTGACAAAAGAAACAATCCAGTACTTCTCAGGGTGTCATGCTATTAGTTACTATGAGGTATAAATTTCAATAAATTCTACAAGGACAAAAAGTTTACAGGGCAGAACAAACCAGATCTCTTGATGCCGGCAGTTAAATTCAACTACTACCAACTTCAGACGGCGTCTTCGCCACGATTGACAACGCGTGTAATCCGTTCTGCAACTCATCTTGCAGCAAATCATAAATCATCCTATGCCTCTTAACCAAACTCTTCCTTTCAAATTCCTTAGAAACCACTCTTAGATTAAAATGCGTCTCTCCATCACTGCCTCTAACCCCAGCGTGTCCCGCGTGCTGATAAGATATATCTTCAACTTCCAATTCCACGGGCCTAAGCTCCTTCTCTAATCTCTCTTTAATTCTCATCCCTCTACTCCTCAAAACACCATCATCACCACCACTAACACTCACATTATTCCCACTAACATCAGTACTCTCTTCAGACTCAACATTTCCATTAACATTAACACCATCCCACAAAGACTCCACAGAGTCATTAGACGACCCGCTCGGGCCTAAATCAGCAGCCCTTTCAGCTTCAACATACAACTGGAGGGCTTTTTTCTGCATCAACTTCAACATATTCAAAAAGCCATTATTCCTAGAAGGAGTTAAGCTTTGTTGCAACCCTAAAAGGACAACAAAATCAGGTGAAACTTTTATAATCTCTTCAACGGGCCGTCCAGATAGGCCCAGAACCAACAAAGCAGCAAGCCCTTTAGTGAGTACCGAATCAGAATCAGCCTCAAAGATCACATTTTTCTCCGAATCAAAATAAGCCCTAACCCAAACCTGTGAAACACAACCCTGAACTTTATTTTCATTGGTCTTGTATTGTGCGTCAAGTGGGTTTAAATTTTTACCGTAAAATAAGAGTTGCTCGTATTTAGCCTTTGGTTGTTCGACTGCTTGAAAGAGTTTGACGATTTCTTGGAGTTTCGGTGGGAGCTCTTCAATGGGTTGGAGAGATGATGAGGGTTGAGAAGAAGCAAAAATTGATTTTGTGGAGATTTTTTCAATGGTAATGGATCTAAAGAAGGTTAATTTAGTGGGTGTTGAATGTATAGAAGAAGAAAAGGATTTTAGGGCTTTATTAAGGGATGGTGAATTAGGGTGGTGGAGGAGAGGGTGCGGGATTTTGGTGGAAATCGACATCAGATAAGGGGAAAGAGAAAATGGTGGGTTTGATATTGAACTTAGTTGGTGGTGCTGGAGGGAAGAACGGAGGATTCGAGAGAAAAGAGAGCCAAGAGATGGAAAACGTGCCTCACTTAGCATACCACCGCCAATCTTGTTACAGCCTACTACTACTCCTACAAAACAAGAAAACTGTTTGTTTGTTTGTTTGTAGCTACCTAACTGCATTTTCAGCCTCTCAGAAAGGGTAAATTTTTCAGATTAGGTTCGCTTTTGTGGGTTATTCAAAATTTCGCTCCTCTATCGGCAAAAAGATATTCTCTACATGTATAAATTTCGAAAGTCAAATTTTTTATTTTTTTAATTATAAATTCCAACATAATTTTTTTTATTTTTCGAAATAAAATTTAAATATTTAAAAATATAAATTATAATAGTTAATAATTTAAAAGACATATAAAATCAAGAATAATTTTTTTTTTCCTCAAAATCTAAACAATGTCACATAAATTAAGACAAAGGGAGTAATATTTATAAATAAGGCGTAATAGGCAACTATACCTACTTGAAACTGATTTCTATTCTTCGTCCTTCTATTTCATGGATTTTTGATGTATTCTTTTAAACACATTTAACGATTGACCAAGCTCGTGTCGTATTAATATGGCTAAGTTGGAGGGGTACATAGCACATAAAGAGCATGAATAGAGAGTGATTTTGATAAGAGAACAAGGTCAAAGTTGTCTTAAACTATCTGAATTTCTCAATTTTTTTTCCCATTACACTTTTTTGTCCATTCATATCTATTGTCGTTAACAAATTGTCTCGTACCTTTCCTTGTCATTCATGGAGTACTAACAAATTGGTGAGTTCCATGTATCCAAATTTTTCAAGAAAAAATATCTAAATTTACTCCTTTACTTTTAAATTTGTTTTAAGATTATGCTCAAGTTGGAGTTTCATTAGTGATCAAGGAAAAAAAAGGAGATCTTTTTGTAGCGACATAGGTAATATGAGACCAAAAGTCTAAAGAAGGACAAAGTTGCTCAATTTGGAATTCTGGACGGGCAAATATGACCCCTTATCTTTGATTAGAAAAGTGACTAAAATAAGAAAATGAAAAGAAAAAAAGAAAAAAAAATAAAGTAAAAGGATAACACCTCTATTCCCGTCTTCAAATTCTCTCTTCCCCTTATCCCTTCCCTGGCTGCTAATGCAATGTAGTTTGGAAGAGGGAAACAATTATAGAAGCAAGAGTTTGAAACGGGCAAAATGAGTGAAGAACTGTTACACCCCATGTTTTTATACGTGAGAGTACGTCGTAAGTCAATTGATGTAAGCTGAGAAATGAGATTATATTTGAAAGTACATAAAAAAGTTAATCATGTTACCTTGGAGGTTACAAATCATTAAGATCATGAACTGTAAGTACCAAGAGGGTTGAAAGGCTTAGAAGCTAAACGACTTGAAGAAAATAAGTTTCGTCGAATGTCGACAAGTTGGGAATGCTATAACATGTACTTTTGGGGTGATACTAGAATTCTTAATATGATAAGGAGATTATGTTATGAGTTATTTTAGTCGTATGATAGTTGTGTATTACGTTTTGAAGTCAAGCGAGTTGTGGAACAAAAGTTTCCAAATGTCATCACAAATTACATTCATAAATGTGTTGAACATTAGGTCAAATATAGCTGAGCTTTTCTCCCAATATACTTAGAATTACGGGGTGACCTACCTATCAAATTAAAGATCTATGAGTCTAGTTTCTAACGCATTTAACCGTTCATCGATACGACATCGGAGTAGAGATATTTTCATTTTTGCGAGACTACGCAAGCAACTCCCATGGGACCCACAAAGTCGGTGTAAAACTCCAGCTTGTATTTAAGTCAATTCTAAGTCGTTTTAACTCATTTTTCTCATCCAAAACAGTTTCTAAACCCTCCTAAATGCTCTCCAAGTTTTTCTCCATAATTCTAGGGTGAAAACCTAAGATAAAAATATGAATCTAATGCTAGAAATTCCGTGGTACTTGCTAGATCGTAGTTCTTCATCTTGTGGATGTTTTGGAGGGTTCTTCAAAGGTAAGTAACCTCAAATTTCGTGTTGTTCTTGTTTATTAAGATAATAATCAGTCCCTCCTTCATATATATTAGATTTTCAATGCGAACTATAAGTGTTTACATACCAACTTGAACACCAAAAATTGATTCAAGAAGAGAATACAACATCAATAGTGTTGTAGTGTCATTGAGGATAGTTATGGTCTGTGCTTGGATGAAATTTCATATTTTTTATACTGGTTAAGGTGAGTATAATATCCTACTACATGTGCTTGAAATTGTTTGTGTGTTGATTGCATTATTTGAGCAAAATACGACAAGAGGAGACTTGAAATAGTTTGAGATGTTATTGTTTTTAATGGGCTGTTTTGGAAATGTTGTTTCCATGAACTGTAAATGGTTATAAACACTTGAAAATGACTCTCTTATTATGTTGTTATTATAAAGTATTATCTACATATCGAACTTGTTGTTGGTACTGTGAGTATGAAGAGAAAGGACAACATAACAATGGAAAGTTGTACTTGTTGTTGTTGTTAGATTGTTGGGTTGTTTGAGGGTGAATTAGGAGATGAATAGGAGGTTAGAAGTCCTACCATTGTACTTAATATCATGCTGGGTATGTTGTTAAGTTAATGAATGAATGACTTTGGGGTTAAAGGGTTCAAAAGGAATTCAATCTGAGCTTGCCGTTTGTCGTGTTAAATAGTAGTTTCGTTGATGATGTTTATGCACTTGTTGTTGTGTAAATTGATTTATGTTGTGGTTGTGAAAGTATATAAGTGAAGTTTGTATGGGTTCGTGTTGGTTGATGGAATTGGTAAAGTAAGGAAAATAGGGGAGATGCTGCCCATTTTAATATATAAATAAGCTTGTCGTTCGTTGTACGATAGTTGCATCTTTCGTAGCTTAACGATAGCATTATTATCGTTACTGTAGATTGAAGTGAGACGAGAGGAGTTCAAAGTGTTTATCAGAAAGATTGTGATAAGGTATGTTAGGGCTAACCCTTCTTTCATTTTGGCATGATTCATATGATACAAATAAAACGAGCAAATACGGAACTTTCACAAATGACTCTATTCTTAGAAGTACTAGGGGTGCCTATGTTCTTGATTCCCCATGTGTCCTATTATTATATCGTCTGTTCATGAGTCTCAGAAAAAACGTAAGTTGATAAAGTTTATTTCATGATATTAACCAAAGGCATATTGATCTTATGACATCCCGAGAAATATTATTGACTTACTTCTTATGCATTGTATTCATTTATACATGTACATTGACCCATGATCGGATGGCATTATATATACATATATTATATGTATATGAGGTATGGGGAAAGGTTATGGCGTTATATACGCACCACCACCTGATCAGCTGGTATACGTTAATGGTTTCGCCCACAAAGGCCGAGATGATATGATGGGATGGCCTTAGAGTCTTGATGATGTTATGTACACATATACATATGCATGATATAATATTTATATGCATATGCATGACATTATAAATATTTCATGATTCATAGAGCTATTCAGACTTACATGTTGAGTCCTTTACTCCATGTTTCTTTCATGTCTTTTATATACTGCTTTTAATGCCTTATATACTCGATACTTTATTTGTACTGATGTCCCTTTTGCCTGGGGGTATTGTGTTTCATGCCCGCAGGTCCCGATAGACAGGTTGACAGTCCTCCTAGTAGGCTATCAGCTTAGCGGAAGGTGTTGGTACACTCCACTTGCTTCGGAGTTGCCTATTTGGTCAGTATGCTTTGGAAATGTATTTATTGGTATGGCGGGGCCCTGTCCCAACCTTTATGACGTTTATGTACTCTTAGAGGCTGGTAGACAGATATCATTTATATGAAAGATTGTATGTCCTTATCGGCCTATGTCCAGTGTACAAGCGATCATTTTAGTCTTATAGGCCCGTATGTCACATGTATAAGTTTGTATTACATGTTGGGTCGTCCTATATAGAGTATTCCCTTATGTTTTATTCTGGTATATCATGACGGCCCTTCTGTCCCATTTACCCATGATGGTATGATAAGAAAAATATATTACGTTGGTGCTCGATTGGGTAAAGCATTGGGTGCTCGTCGCGGTCCATCGGGTTGGGTCGTGACAAGAACAAAGGGTTAACTTTTAGTGCGAACATCGTGCAAACTCTCACTTGTATTTTCTATGCTAAAAAAGAAGATACTGGCACAATTGTTGGACTAGAAAAACTTTAAAGATAAAAATTCCAAACATAAAGCATATGACAGAATACCAAAACCCAAAAAAGCTACAAGAAATAGATAACTTTTTTTTCCAATACCTAATTAGAAAACTCCCAACTCTTTAGATTCAAGTCCACAAGTGGACATTATTTTTCTTCTATTTAATTCAATACAAGAAACCACTATCATCAAAAATGTAGAAGATGGTTCTTTCTAAGTGAGGTGCACAATGATTTCCAATAATGAAAGAGAAGTACAAGCACCATATTGAGGGCGAAGTGCTGATGAAAAAGAAATTGGAGAGATTTTAAATAAAGTGAAAAAAGAAGTTTGACAGCTATGGAAGTTCCATAGAAAAGGGACTAGAGGGATTTTGGGAGAGGTAAAAAATAGTGGAGCTCATTATTTGTTCACAGATGAAAAATAAAAGGAACTAATATATGTTTTCTAGTGATATGGGGCATATTTGAGTAGTGGTTGTCTAGTCAAAAAATTATGAAAAGAGAAAATGGAGTGTATTTGAAATTTTAAAAAAGTAGCTTCGTGATGATGGATGCATATTCTTATCTAATGTGGATAGTTATCCAAATTAATGCGATTGAGGGACACACAGGGTCAAGTGCCATTGATATAGTGAAACATATTTAGGTATCTAGTTAACAACTAGGCGATTACTGAAATGCTAGTCAATCATCTTCAAATCAATACACAATGTGTCTTCCACAACACATACTCTTCTCAAGCGATACACAGTGCTAGTATCCTCTTAAACATCTGAAATCTCCCATGATGTCTAAAACTCCTAACATTTCTTCTTAACTGAACCTCAAACTTAGCCATATAATCCCAGTGCCTCATGACTCACTACATCTACGAAAGTATGGGAACCTCATCATCAACTCTGAATCATGAGTAGGATAAACACTCCATCAACCAGAAACTTTTTATTTAACTCAATCCAG